GGGGGGGTCCGGGATGGGACTGGGAGTTGGCCTTCTTCTCTCTCCCCAGAGAAAAGTCTGGTGGACAGTGGCCCTGGCCATTGCTGTCAGCTGACCTGGTGTAAATGGGGACCCAGCTCACACACACTGTGACCTCGGGCAGGTCGCTTCACCTCCCCAAGCCTCAGGGTTTTCACCTGTTAACTGGGGGCAAGGTCTCCCCTCACGGGACTGCGGTAAGGACTAGTGAGATAATATATGCAAAATGACTGGCAGGTGCCAAGTACTTACCTTGGGGCTAAAAACAAATAACAGTGACTGTGAACTCGGTGTGCTGATGGGTCGCACCTCACCCAGCATCCCTGCACCCGCGGGAAGCCTGAGGAAACTCCATTCAGCGGATGTGTATAAGCACCTACTATGTGCCCATGTGAACAAGCCCTGGAGGTGGGTGCTCAGGTGCCCCCACGGTCCACCCCCATGGGACCAGCCCTGCCCCCAGTCTGGCCTGGGGGAGGGTAGCTCTGAAGGGACAGTCCGTCCTGATCACCATGCGAGCCCAGTGTCCGGCGGGGCCAGCTGAAGGAAAGGAGGGTCTGCCTGTGGCCAGGCTCCGGGGTCCTGTCCTGTGCGGCCCGGGGCTGGGGAGGCAGAGGTGTCCTTTCTCTTCTTTCTTTGTGGAGTGACGGGATCTGGCTTGGACGTAGGGCTCTGACTCACCATGACACAGGATGCTCGGTCACAGCTGCCGAAGCTCCCAGCTGGCAGCCCGGCAGCTCTGGGGGCAGGGGGGCAGGGAGGTGGGCCCCTGCAGGAAGGATGCAGGTCAGGTCACAGGGGAGGGAGAGGGTGCCGGGGAGCCCACTGTGCCCCCTTCAGCCTAAGACAGGGACAGGTGGACGAGGCTGGGCAGTGGCCCCATCCCGAGTCACTTGCTCACCACCTCGGGGATGTCCCTGCGGTGGGGTGAGGGGTTCTGCTTATCTCAGCCCCTGGCATTTGTGCTGGTCAATCCCACATGGACTCAGCCCTCTCATTGTCCAGACTGGGGATCAGAGAGGGACAGAGGTTTGCCCAAGGTCACACAGCATATTGATAGCAGAGTGGAGACTAGAACCCAGGTCTCCTGCCTGTCAGCCCAGCCCTGGCACTGGCCTGAGACTGGGCCATGCAGGGGTGGGCAGCTCCCCCTTGGACGCCCACAGTCACCTTCCCAGTCCTTGGAATTCTGCTGAAGCAGACGGTTCCCAGATTTCCAGACAGCTCCAAGATGTGTGGTTGTCCTTCCCCGGGACAGGCTGTCCTTTCCCGGCTCAGCCCGTAGCCTTATCTGCCCTGGGACCTCCCACTACCCTCCCCCAAGCATGCTCCTTGCCCCACCCATCCGTGGGGGAGAGGAGAGAGAACCTCTGGTGGGTCAAGGGATCAGAGGAGAGAGTGACCAGGCTGTGCCCTTCACATCCCAAATCCCATTCTCCTGTCATGATTTTGGGGACCCAGCCAGAGCCCCCAGGCCTGGGGCCTGCCCCCACTCTCCTAGTCAACCACAGACGCGACTAGCCCTGAGCGCCTGGTCCAGAGCTGGGCACTGGGGCATGCAGAGCAGGTGCTGCAGCCCGATCGGGGAAGATTAATCAGGGAGCCGTGAGTCCTGGATCAGACTCGCTCCCTGCCCGGGCTGTCCTGGGAGGGGGCGACGCCGCGTGGAGGAGCCAGCCATGTGTGCAAATAACTCGGGTCACAGTGGACAGTAGAGCCTCCCCGCACCGGCCCGGCGCAGTGAGAGGAGCTGCTCCTGGCAGGGGTTGTGGGGGTGTCTTCCCGATGGTGGTGACCCTGCAACGGCACTTTGAAGGTTGAGTGGGGTGTGGCAGGCAGAGACGGTGGAGGGCTCTCTGTACACAAAGGTATGGAGGCAGGTGGTGGGGGGCACCAGGGGACTGGCAAGTATGACGCCTGGGGGCCCGGAGGGAGGGGACGAGACCTCCAGGCCTCTAACATCTCAGGAAAGGCCCAGCTGGGTCGGCAGGGGGACAGGGTTGGAACCAGGCAGATCTGGGTTTGACTCCATACTCAGCAGATGCTCAATAAAGAGCTGTTGACTGAATGCCAGAAAGTGAGACTGGTCCAAGGTCACACATCTGGAAAGTGGTTGCAGCCGAGACTAAGGGATTCGACCTTTCATCCGCCCAGCAAATGCTGATTGAGCACCTGCTGTATGCGGGGCACTGTGGGCGTTGCTGAGATTACAGCACCAATGAGATGGAGAGGTTCCCGGGGGGGGTAAGGGGGGCGCTGTGAGTTGAGAATCAGCCCCGAGAAGCACTGGGACAGCGCTGGAGGGTGTAGGAGAGAAGGACTTGACCTGGTCTTGGGGGCGGAGGGCGAGCCCAGAGGAAGCGGCAGGGAGAGGGCACAGCTGACGGATGAGTGGGACTTGGCTTGGCAGAGAGAACAGCACGGCAGTGGTCTGGAGGTGGGGGGAAGGGATTAATTCCCAGGAGGAAGAGGGGACCGGGATGCCTGGAGCTCAGAGGATGGCAGGGAGGAGGGGGCAGGAGCCAGCTCCCCAGTGCCCCCCACTTGGATCTGGCCTCTGTCTTAAAGAGCAATGGAAGGCCTGCCCTCCATGGGCCCATCTGCAAACCAGACTTCCTTCCAGTCACTCCCAGGCGGGGTCGAGGCCTGGATGAGTCTCCCAGTCGAGTTCTCTGTTTCTCTGGCCAGTCTTGGGGTCCTAAGGGCCAGTGCTTAGGGCCTTCCCTGGGAAGCCTGAAAATTTAGGCCGCAGGTGGACCTCAGAATGTGCTCACTCTTAGCTCCAGATTCAAGGTGTGGGCTTCCAGCTAAAGCGGGGCGACAGGTCAGAGTCCCTCACGGGTGACCAGCTAGACTAGGCAGGCAAGGGAGAGCCTGGAGGTAAGCCCCCCACCCCATATGATGGAGGGGACACAGCCATTGTGTTACACACACTGGGGACCCTGGGGAAGACCAGCCCCTGCCCTGGGGAGACTTCCAGCCCGGTGAGTCAACAGGTGGGTCGAGTTAATCTCTAAAATGCCTGGCCAGGCCTGGCCCACGGTGGCTCTTCGGTCCAGAATCGCTCTCTCGGGGTTCAAAGGCTGGTATCCCTGGGTGTCGGGTCTCTGCAGGCAGGGAGGAGGCCCCCTGCTTGGACTAAGGCAGGGACACAGGTAAGACTCACCTGAGATGCTTTTCCTGAGCCGTGCATGTCATGCAGCATCTGGCCACCAGGGGGCAGCCGAGACAGCGCCATTCTTCCCAGCTCTTCCTCTCGCTTCTCCCTTGGCCGATTGACCCAGAAAGTACCATGCTGCCAGCTCATGCCCAGCCACACGGCTCGAGGCTGGGCATTGTGTGCCCTGCACAAAGGAGCCCAGGTGAGAGGGAGGGCAGCGAAACCCTGTCCGTGCTCCTGCCACCGAACCCTGAGCTCTGGAATAGGCTGTGTCGGCCTCAGGGCTGGGGCACGGGGCGACTTTTTCTAGCGCAAAGGTGTTATCTCCTTGCCAAGCTGTGTGCTTCAAGGCTGCATCCACCCAGGTCTGCACAGTCTCCATCTGGGCAGCAATACCCTGAGCTCAAACGTCACCTGGTCCTGACCCCAGTGCGCAGATGTGGAGACTGCGACCCTGGAAACGGACCAAGGCTCGTTAGGCGCAGAGCCCGGACTGAAACCCCACGGCCGGTGGCACTCCCCGCTCCACCTGGAGTTGCTCGGGTGCCAGGTGCCACCTCTGCGGGCCAGGCCCTGCCTATGGTTCCTGGGCCTCAGGCTTGGGGCCTTCCTGGGAAGCCTGAGAAAGTCCCAGGCTGAACTCAGAATGTGACCCTCTCAGCTCCAGGCTCAAGATTGGGTATTTCCAGCTGGAGTGGGGTGACAGGCCGGACTAGGTGGGGAAGGGAGGGACAGGAGGGTAAGCTCCCAGTCTGATGGAGGAGACACAGCCACTGTTCTGGGCACTGGGAGACTGGCGAGAGACCACCCCTGCCCCCTGCCCTGGGGAAGCTTCTAGCCTGGTGAGCAGACAGGTGGTGGGGTGTCCCAAGCACTAGACAGACATCCCCCAGGCCCTTGGGGGACAGGTTTTCTCATGGTCATCGTAGGCTGATCCTCAGTACAGGAGAGCCTGGCTGGCCCAGTGGGGCTATTGATTGGGGCTGGGGAGGCAGTCTCAGGGGTTTGGGTTATAACAGCAACAATAGTAATCACGGAAGCTGAGACCTTCCCACATGCCAGCTGCTGAGGGCCTGGTCCTGGCCCTGGCCCGTTTTCATTCTTCCAGCAACCCGAGGAGGTGGGTGCAAGCGCTGGCTGAGCTGGGGCAGCCCTTATGCTCCCCGCCTCCCCTCTGTCTTAACCTCTGGGGTGATGCTGAGCCTGGTGGCTCCTGGGACCGGCAGCATGACCCCATTCCTGCCCCTGGATGTTTGCACAGCTGTGCACTCCCCTCCATCAGTCCCCATCACACGTGTCCCTGAGCCCCACCCACAGAGGTCTGCCCCGTTTCCCTCCCTCATTCACGTCTCTTTCGTCAGACATGGATCGAATCGGCGTCCGCAGTGTGTTGTCTGCCCAGGGAATGGGGTGCAGTTGAGAGTAATCAGAGAGTCCCCGCTATCTTGGAGGCTAGAGTAGGTGTCAGCAAGCTATGACCCCTGGGTCAAATCTGGTCCTTAGTGTGTTTTTGTAAATAAAGTTTTATTGAAACATATCCATGCTCATTTGTTCACCTACCGTCTCTAGCTCTTTCGCCTTCCAATGGCCGAGTTGCATAATTTCGATGGAAATAGCACAGCCCTTAAAGATGAAAACGTTTACTCTCTGGCCCTTTGCAAGAAGTTTGCCGACACCCGGCTTAAAGCCAGCCAGAGAGAACACGGGGCAGCGAGTCACTGGAATAGATAAATGAATCAGCAGATGGTGGGGAATGCCAGGAAGGACATCACAGCGCAGGAATGAGACTTAGGGTGACACTGGTCACCATTTCTTCCCCCTCCCACTCCCGCTACCCTGACCACGTGCTGGCCACTGCAAGGTCAGGCTCCGGCCAGGCGTGGCCTCTGGTTGTGTTTGTGCCAGGTGGGGGTGAGGTCCTGCTGACACCTGCAGTTTGGGCCACTGTTCTCACCCTCCTGTCACCTGACCTGGTCCGGCCTCCCAGCCGGTCGTGAGCACTCCCACGTCCGGCTCCTAGTCCGCTGGGAGGCCGGCAGCGAGGGAGGTTCCTTCTGCAGAAAGGACAACAGAGGCCGCGATGTTTGATGACTTGGCCAAGCCTTGACAGCTGCAGGCCGAGATCTCGGTGTCATGGGAAAGCCCCGGACCGTATTTAGGACACCAGGGCTCTAGCCAAGGACTCATTCGGGCAAGTCTGTTCCCCTCTGGGCCTCAGTTTGTTCATCTGGAACCAAGGGGGTTGGAAACATGGACCTGTGAGTTCTTTTCTGGGTCTGCCAGCACGCTGGGGCTCGCCCAGGCCTCTCCAGGCCTCACTTTGCATCTGTAAAATGGGGAGACAGATGCTGGGCCCTCCCACACTCCCGGGGCTGGTCCCGGGCCAGGGAGATCACAGGTGGGAAGATGCTTTGAGCTCTGCGGAAGAAAGGAGCCCTATAAACCCAGGGGTTATTAATTAGGGCGGTGGGATTTAGGCCTGGGGGGCGGTCCCCGCCCCGGCAATGTTTGGGCGACCAGCAGAGGGCACTGTGGGGAAGCGAGGCCGGACCCTGAGAGGGAATCGCCCCTCCGAGGGCACAGACAGAGGCCCTACTGTGTGCCAAGGGTGTAGTGCTGGGCGTGGGGATGTGATTGTGAACAAATGGGACCCGAGGTGCCCCAGTAGGGGAGGGGACACGGAGCGAACAGGCCTAGACGCAGATGAGAGCGATGGGCAGAGGGAGGCCCGCAGGGATGGGGGCCCCTGTGGGAGCCCATGGAAACCAGGAAGGGATGTCCAGCCTGCAGCTCAGGCCAGAGGTCTGGCTGCAGAGCCGGAGGGGGAACGCGGCCGAGCGGAGCATGGGGCTGCCTGGGTTCGAGTCCTGCCTCTGCCACCTATTGGCAAGTGGCTTCCCCTCCCCTCCCTCATGCTCCTCGCCTGTAAAATGGGGATTATAACATCGCCCAGCTCACAGCCGTCGTGAGCATCACGTTAGCTGCTCTTGGGCAACACGCCTGGAACAGGGCCTGACCGGGGCAAGTGCCTTCAATGTCGCGGCCGTGACCAGAAGCCTTCGGTCTGGACATTGGCAGCTGGAGCTGTGCAGGGCCCCTGCCCACTTCGGGGAGGGTGGCAGGACAGAGCTGAGGGTGGGCGGCCGGAGAAGGGAAAGGAGAGGAGAGAGAGGCACAGCCTCGGGGACTTAGGGGCGGAGCACAAAATTGGGGGGCAGGGTACAGTGAGGCAAGGGAGGGAGTTTGGAGGAGGAAAGAGTCGTCAGGCACCAGCTGGACCCAAACTCTCTGCTGAGCCATCCCCTCCAGGCCCCTCCTCAGCTGTGTGCCCTCAGGCATGTCTCTGGGCCTCTCTGAGCCTCAGTCTCCTCCTCTCTAAAATGGGGGAATAGCTCCTGCATCACAGGGCTTCAGACACCCCTTAGGATGCCTGGCTCTGGGAGGTATGTAAACACCCCCTGCCAGCATTGTAGCCCCCCAGTGCCATGAGAGGCTGGGCCTGGCTCTGTCCCCGCCATCACCCAGGCCTTGTTTAGAAAACCAGCCCAAGAGGAAAACCCTAAAAACAAACACACCCCAGCTGATCTTGCAGCCCTGCCCAGCCCTGCCTGGCCCTGCCCTGCCCACTCTGCCTTCCCAGCCAGAGAAGTGGGTGGGGTGGGTGTTTTTCCCAGCTTGGGGGGGTGGGGGCAGCAACCAGGTCAGGGTGGGGCTGACCGAGGGCCCCAGGACTCTCCTGCCCCCGCAGGTGGAACGGTGGGCATCTCAGTCCCTCGGGGAGCCGGCTCAACGCGCAGGCCCCATGCGTGAGAAAGGTGAAGGGACTGAGACGCTGCCGGCAGTCACCGAGTCGCCGGCTGTCAGTGCAGCACTGGGAGTTCCGCCAGGAAGGTTCTGACAGCCGAGCGTGTTGTCAGGTGGGTAGGAGATTTATCGGGGCGATCGCCTAGTCAGTTATATAACGTCCAACCACTGGGGTGTGCACCTGAGACTAATATAATACTGCATGTCAACTAGAGTTGAAAATAAAAAATTATTAAAGTAAAAAAACCCAAAAAACCCACCCGGGTTCCAGAGCCCTGCTGT